CTGTGTTGATTATAGGGCCAACTTAGTGACTACAGGCAAATTCTTATCTTTCTGCACCTTAATTTTTATTTTCTTTTATTTATTTATTTGGTATCAGGGATTGAATTCAGGAGTGCTTAACCACCGAGCTAAGTCACCAGCCCTTTTATTTTTATTTTGACACAGCATATTGCTAAATTGCTGAGGCTAGTCTCTAAATTGGGATCCTCCTGTCTCAGCCGCCCAAGTCACTCAGATTACAGACTTGTACCACCATGCCTGGCTTCAATTTTTTTCTTACCAAATGAAAACACCTAACCGGTAGAACTGCAGGGGGGCGGGTGGGGGGGAGGTGTGGAATGGAATGAAGTCATCATTATGCACAGTGCCTAAAACATAGTGAACACGAAAATATTAATCTTTTCCTGTAAATGTATAAACCCTGCTTATTAATACAAAATTTGTTCTACTGTATAATGGAAAAATTGACTATTTAATAACTTTGTAATTTCATAAAGTCTAAGAATGCTAAATGACCAGTATGCTTATCAGTCCCTATTGGTTTCTAAATTGGTAATAAAATATGTCAAGTTTGTTCCAGAGTGATCTGTTCCAGAGTGATCTGCCTATTAGTAAATTAACTGTGGCCAGCTCACCAGAGCAGGTAGTTAAAGTTTCCAGACTTGTTCATTCACTGATTCATTCATCCATTTATCCCACCAATACTTATGGAGAACCTAATATGTGTCAGACACTATTCTAGGTCCTGGAAAAAAAGCAAAGCATGAAAATAATCAACTCCCTGCACTAAAAGAGCTTATGACCAAGCATCTGTGGAAGGGAAACAATAAACCAATATCTATGGGTGTTAATTTTAAATCCTGCTACTTTGCTGAACTTATTTACTAGTTCTATAAGTTTTCTGGTGAAATCTTTAGGGTCTTCTAGGTATAGAATCATATCATCAGCAAATAGTGCCAATTTGAGTTCTTCTTTTCCTATGTGTATCCTTTTCTTTCGTCTAATTGCTCTGGCCAGTGTTTCAAGAATTATGTTAAATAGAAGTGGTGGAAGAGGGCATCCCTGTCTTGTTCCAGTTTTTAGAGGGAATGCCTTCAATTTTTCTCCATTTAGAATGGTGTTGGCGAGGATATAGGGAAAAAGGTACACTCATATACTGCCGGTGGGACTGCAAACTGGTGTAGCCAATATGGAAAGCAATACAGAGTTCTTGGAAAATTGGGAATGGAACCACCATTTGACCCAGCTATTCCTCTCCTCGGTCTCTACCCAAAAGACTTAAAAACCACATACTACAGGGACACAGACACATCAACATTATAGCAGCACAATTCACAATAACTAAACTGTGGAACCAACCTAGATGCCCTTCAATAGATAGATTTAAAAAAATGTGGCAAATATACACATGGAAAATTAATCAGCAAAAGAGAATAAAGTCATGGCATTTGCAGGTAAATGGAGTTAGAGAAGATAATGCTAAGTGAAGTTAGCCAATCTCAAAAAAAACAAATGCCAAATGTTTTCTTTGATATAAGGAGGCTGATTTATAGTGGGATAGGGAGCAGGAGCATGGGAGGAATAGATGAACTCTAGATAGGGCAGAGGGGTTGGAGAGGAAGGGAGGGGGCATGGGGTTATTAATGATGGTGGAATGTGATGATCATTATTATCCAAAGCACATGTATGAAGACACAAATTGGTGTGAATACACTTTGTATACAGAGATATGAAAAATTGTGCTCTATATGTGTAATAAGAACTGTAATGCATTCCACTGTCATATATAAACAAAAAAAGTAAAAAAAAAAAAAAAAAGAATTTCACCTCTAAATTATCAAAGAATAAAAATCATTAGGTAAGGTTCATTTTTCTATGCAAAAAGAAAAAAAAAACATCTAATGCAATATCTGGGGACAATCAAGAAGGAAAATAGGTCAACCTAAAGCTGAGGCCAGAAAGATGGAACTGGGATATGACTTCATGCCTTCCTTTGACATGCAAAAGAGGCAGGGCCCTAATATACATCACTGATCCCAGTGCTGGGAAAAAAAAAAAAAAATCAACTTTGTATCAGATGTGTCTTGAAAATAAAAGGCAAAAATATGGTTCCAGCTCTCAAAACAGCAGGGAGATAACAAATACATGGCAAGGTAACTTATAAATTCAAACCAAAAATAACCTCCAAGTGAGTATTTCAAGTAAGTATGATAGGAGTTGAGACAATAATTAACTGAACATTTAGCTAATGCTTAGCACTCAACCGACACATTTATTTTTAAAATTTACTTGCAGTACTGGGAATTGATCGAGGGGCCTCATGAACACTAGGCAAGTGTTCTACCACTGAGCTACAACCCCAGCCCTCTACTGAACAATTTATAACATGTGATCCTCACAATAACTATATAAAGGGAATTATTACTATCCTTATTTTATAGCTGGAAGCATAAGAGATGAAGAGAAGGGATAATCTTAAACTAGGATTGTTTGGGAGGACTCATGGAGGAGAGAATGTGTGTTGAGGGTAGGGGAGGATTTAGATGGTGCAGAAGGAGGTAGCAGTGTGCAGAGGAAATGGACAGCAGGGAATGTGTGTCAATCACCCATGGCAGAAGCAGTTTTCAGAAAATTTGTAGCTGATCAAAAACTTGTAGCCAATTCAAAAAGCTATTTAAAAAACAAAGAGACACAAGATAAGTAGAAAAAATAAGTAATTTTTTTAAAAGACTGCTTAATAAAGACCAAAAATTGGTCTTTTAAGAAAAGGGGGAAAAAAGAAAAAGAAAATTATGAATGAGAAAGGGAGTGTATAATAATTATTTTCAGAACTATGAGAGTATTTTTTATTATGGGACTCAAAAAGGTTTATGTAAGCAGGATGCCTTTCAGATTAGTGAAAAAAAAATTGAAACTTTCTATTAAAAATATCAATCAAAAGAAAACTGGTTAAAGGGTTACTAAGCAGCCAGTAAAATTAATAAATCTATGTAAGTCCCTTACATGAAAAAACATTACAAGATTGAATGGCAAGAGGTAAATTATAGAATGCAAATGACAGTGCAGTGCCACCTCAGTATATATCATATGTAGATGAATGAGACATAGCAGACTTTTTACCCCATATATTCCAGTGTTTCTTTTGTTTTGTTTGCAGTGCTGGAGATGGAACTCAGGGCCTCATGTATGCTAGGCAAGTGCTCTACCATTGAATTAATTATACCCTTGACTCCTACAGTATTGAGTTAACTGCAAAATATATGCATTCATGTAATAATTTTGAGGGGGAGGGGTACTGAGGATTGAACCCAGGGGCACTTTATCACTGAGCCACATCCCCAACCCTTTTTAATTTTTTTTTATTTTGAGACAGGGTCTCACTAAATTGCTAAGGCAGGCTTTCAACTTGCAATCTTCCTGCCTCAGCCTCCTGAGCCACCATGTCAGGCTCATGTAATAATTTTTAATTGAAAAAGGAAGAGAGCTTGGAAAAATACTTAGTTGATTATGTTTCAGAAGGATAGCAAAAGAGATTTTTACTTTTCACTTTATATATGTACATATATAAAATGTTAAACATGCAAATTACTGTGAAATTATTTTAATATAAAATAATACATATGAAAATATTTTCAAAGACTAATGAAATGGATCTCCACTAAATCTACTGGCATTTTTTTCAGTCACAATGAAAAATAAAGCAGGATGACTTAATGGTATTTTACCTGGTACTTTTCCAGTTCTCCTTCCTTTACAACATAATTAGAAATCACTTCAAAAGAATTCCTCATTCATTTATGGAATATTACTACCTTAAATATTACCTTCCAGACCAAGAGTTCAAAGAATAGCTGGTATAAAAAATTTTAGCAGAGAATCCAAAGCTGGCCAAGGATATCACCGACGGGTTTACTTTTTTCCATGCCCTAATAATTATTACAGCAGTATGTAATTTCTAACTGTCCAGGTTCCTAATTCTTTTAAAAACAAACCTGTCACACATAAACACATAAATATAAATCATATTGTGTGGGGGTGTTTTTTTCTTTTTCTGAGATTGTGCGTTTCACGTGATTGGAGAAAGGTATTCAATGAGATTTAAAAAAAAAAAAAAAAACAACGAAAGCGCTCAGTTCATGACGGTTAAATCACCATCTCTAACACAATTGGGCGCTATGTGCCAGGCTGCAGCATAACTGGAAGCAGCGTGACTCTGCACACAATGACAAGTCTGAATATTTTCCCCGGAATAGTACACTTTCAAAAGAAAAACTCGAGACATTTCAAACGCCAAGTCGAGAAATAGAAAGGTACTTAGATAATGGAGGCACAAGGTCAAGTAGAAAAATTTAACACAAAAAAGGAACCGAACTGACTGCCGAACAACTGGCCGGTGCCTTACACAGGACTGCACATCAGGTCGCAGTCGTAGGAAGGGTAACTTGGAACATCAAAAATTCACATCGCAGGCATTTTTCTCCTTGGACGTGAAAGTGCTTCATCCTCCCCGGCCCTGCTTCCACCCACCCACGGCTGGTGGACACCAACGTCCTGACTACGATGAAAGCGAGCTGTTCCCTCCATTTTGTCCCCAATCTCCTTTAAGCAAACTGAGCAGTGCTATTTTTAAAGACAATAAGTAATAAAACCAAGAAGAGGTGGTGTGGGGGTGGGGGCGTCGGAGCACAATTGCTGGAGGGAGGCAGGAGAGACTAAATGGCTGCTAGCGCAGAGAGCAGCAGCCGGTGGTACTGAGGGCTTGTTCTGAGCCCGGAAGAACAAAGGACACGTAGGGGACGAAGGCCGTCGAACTAGCGAAAGGCGACTTCCGGGCCAGGGACCCGGACAGAGAGCGCGTGGGGCTCAGCCAACCCCTGCCAGGGGTCCGCCCCGCAGGACAAAGCCGCGGCGGCGCGCGCGCGCGCGCTCCCTCCGCCGCGAACCGCCCTCGACGCGTGCCCGGCGCCCGGTGCCTGAGAAAACGCGCGCGCCCGGGGACGGTTAAAAATGGCGGTTGGGGGGGGCGGGAAGACGGGCCGCGTCGCTCACCCAGGATTCCAAGCCTCCCCCACCCTGCCTGGAAGCCGGGAGCCGGAGGTGGTTCGCCAGCCTGCCGCCTCCCACGCTCCCGGCCCTGCGAGCTGGTTGCAGGACACGGAAGATAGCGTAATCCGTCCGATTGAACAAAAAAGGTGGCAGCCGAGGCGCCGGCATGGCCTCTGCGTAGCATTAAGAACATTCCCTAAAATGGCGGCCGGCGCGCGGGGGCGGGCGGGAGCCAGCGGGCGGGGCGCAGCTGGCCTGGCTTCCGCTCCTGAGGCCTTGGGCGGACGCAAGGTGGGGCTGGAGGAGCCAACTGGTCCCCATGGCGGCCGTGCCGGAGCAGGGCGAGTCCGGGAAGGGGAAGGTAACGCGGGAGTGGCGGGGCGCACCATCTCAGAAGGGAGAGTGGGGCGGGAAGCGCGTAAGGACCCGGCGTCCTGAGTTTCCTAGGCTTGGAGCACGGGTCCCCGGTTTCTCCACCAGGCGAAAGCAAGAAACCATCATAACTATTACTAGTCCTCTCCCGCGCTTAGTGGCCTGGACAACCCTGTCCTAAACGAGGGGAAAGCGATCAGCAATATTAATGATTTGCAGGTTGTTATGAAACAGCCAGTACTGAATCCTTTGACAAAATTTTGCTGACGAGGACATTACATTGAATTTTGCTTGTTGCGAGATGAAAATGCTCCGAGGACAGGTACCTTGCCTTAAATGTGGCATTCTACACATTAAACAGATTCAGTAAATGTTAAGGAATGAAAACTTGGCTATATTCCGGTTATGTCCAGAGCAGAAAGGTCAGATGAAGGGGGCGGCGGGGGGATTCCCATTAGCTTTATTTGGACCACATGGCAGAGTGCAACGTAGTGGTGTAACTAATAGCCTGCCTAACCGGCATCCCTGTTTGTTGGCGCTCTCCCCTATTTAGTCCACTTCCACGGTTGTTTGCAAGAGCTTCCCGTAGTATAAACTATACAGTTTCAGCCTATTTAAAATCCAGTCCTAATCGCCCATTTCTTTCAGCGTAAAATCCAAATTCTTGGTGTAGTAAAGCTGAATTAGGTTCTCTGTCGCCTTCGAACGGTCTCATGAGACTCCCCAAAAGCAGACTGAGGTGTTTCCCTATCTGGCATTTTGTACGTAGCTTCACCATTACAGTATTGAGTGTCTCAAAAAGTTGCCGGGTCTCCGATTTTTGATCTCCTAGTTCAGTCTCCCTAGTAGCTTGTGTTAAAAGGTATGCATGGTGCCTTGCTGACTGATGTACAGAGGTAGTAAGAATGAAGGGAGAAAGTGGTAAGTATGGACCTATTTATTTGACTCACGAGTAGCAAAACAAGTTGTAGTCAGTGAATGAAAGGTGGCTATAGACCTTAACCTCAATATCACCAGATTTATGGGTGGTGGGGTATACCCCACAAATTGCTCATGAGAAAAGTAATACCTATCTAAATTCATCAGAGATGATGAAAATTATGTAATAAGCTGTGTCTGGATAACAGCCCAGGAAGTCAGAAAAGGAAGCCTGCAGTCATTTTTTTTAAAGGATATGTCAGTGATTGTTCCAGTACAACCCAGGGAAAATAACTATTTATTAGAATTAGCAAACCTAAGGTAAAACCTAGAGTTACCCTTTAAATTTTACTCATTATTGTCCTTCAAGAAATTTGAAAATGTAAAATTTGGTAGTTATTCACAAAAAGTGAAGTGTGAATTCAAGAAGTCAAACAATATTTACAATGTTACCTACACTATCTGGCATCAAACTTATATAGTAGGGATATGGTCTTCATCAAAACAGGCCAAGTCCCTGTCCTTAATGGAGCTCACTTTCTAGTAGGGGAATCCAACAATAAGAATTTCATTTACTGAGTCAACCATGTAAAGACCCAAGAGAAATGCAGTGTATTAGGTTTGTAGAGAAATGTCAAGGCCAGTGTGCCTAGAGTGGAGGACAAGAGACTAGAAAACAGAAGCAAGCAGGTATGAGATCACATGGAGGCCTTTGTAGTAGTGGTAAGGAGTATGTACTATACTGAGCATATTCAGAAGCCATAAAGAGTTAAGAGAATGATAGTCACACATTTTTAGAGTGATGGCAGAGAGACCTAAGATACTGTTGACAGATGTTAGTTTGGTAATATACTAAAAGTTGAGAACTAGTAGGTTCAGCACATATTTTGAACTTGCAAATACATTGTACATGGATTTGAAGATGAAAGGATGATTCTTTTTTTGGCTGGAAAATAATTTGAGTAGAGATGTCATTAAGAGAAAGGTTGGGGCTGGGGTTGTGGCTCAGTGGTAGAGTGCTCACTTAGCATACATGAGGCACTGGGTTCGATCCTCAGCACCACATAAAAGGTTTTGAGATGGAAAGTCCCGTTTTATGGAAATATTAAGATCAAGATTGAGATAAGAGGTATCAGTAGGCAGAGTCTCTTTCCAGAAAAGGGCAGCACTTCCAACATTTAAGGTCTACAGACAAAGCTGCTAGGACTGCCCAGGAGACATTACTGTATTCAGAACCAAGTTAAATTATTTAAAAACAAAATTACTAGATCTGTTCCACATCTGATAAGATGGATGCTGCAAAGTGGGTATCCTTGGAGTACAGGTGATAAATGCTTCACAGGCCAAAAACCTAAGAGTCATCCTCGCTTAATCTTTTTTTTTTAAATTCATGTCCAGTGTATCAGCAAAGAACCGTAAGGTTTCTAAGTGGAGAAGCACACCAAGGTAACTCAAGTAGTTTTGCTGGGAAACAAGAAAATTTTGTTATCATGATTATAATAGAAAAATCTCATGCACATGAGGACAAAAAAGTTCTTGTGTAGGCAGAAGGGAATCAGGTGCACAAGTATTGAAGATTAGTTCTAGATCACCTTTGCAACAAGAGGAAAAAAACATGGGCACAATGTAGGTCCAATTTGATCTGAAAATCTCTAGAGCGTCCAGTAGTTCCAAAGTGAACTGATAAATAGTTTATTTTTCAGTTTTCGGTGGACACGTCTTTGTATGTGGTGCTGAGGATCGAACCCGGGCCAGGCGAGCGCGCTACCGCTTGAGCCACATCCCTAGCCCCTGATAAACTCTTTAATAAAATCTAAGCTTTTAATGCTGGGGCTGAGCAGTAGTGCACTTGCCTGGCATATTATGAGGCACTGGGTTCAATTCTCAGCACCACAAATAAATAAAGGTCTATCAACAACTTAAAAAAAAAAAAAAGCTTTAAATATATCACTGCAGTTGTAGCTCAGTGGTAGAGCGTAGCATGCATGAGTTCAATCTGAGTTTAAAAAATTCACTGATCAGACAATGACATTTTAAAAAATTAGTTTAGCCAGACGTGGTTGTGAACAACTAAGCTGGGAGTGAACTGAGACAGGAGGATTAAGTTCAGTTCAAAGCCAGCCCCAGTCAAAACCCCTGATGATAAAGTAAGTCCTTGAACATCTTTCCCTTTTTTTTTTGGTACTGGAAATTGAACTCAGGGTTGCTTTTGCTTAACCATTGAAACACATCCCAACCCCTCTTTATTTTGGAACAGTCTGTAAGTTGTTGAAGCTGGATTTGAACTTGCCATCTTGCCTGGCACCCAGCCACAGAATGCATAAGATTTTCATGATGACTTGGAAAATGCTTCTCCTAAAGTCTTTTGCTTTCATTTATCAAAGTGACACAGCAGAAGTGACACAGGCCTCGGGGTCAGACTTCCATCACATTTACCTGAAGCCACGTTTCCACGTTGTGATATTATGAGCCTGCCAGTAATGACCCCTACCCCTAAATTACCGATTAGTTAGATTTGAGCTCAAGTTCACAGTATTGACACTTTAGACCAGTTTTGTTGAGGGTGGAGCTCAAGAACTATAATGTTTCTCTGATAACTCTTGTTTTCAAGCCAAGATTATTCCATTATGGACATTCCAGCAGCTCAGGAAGCTGAGACAGGAGTATCCCAACTTAAAGGTCACCCTGGACAACTTGGTGAGACCCTGTCTCAGAAGATCAAAAGGGTTGGGGATATGGCTTAAGAGTTCAATTCCTGATACCAAAAAGGGGCACCCTTATGCTCCATGGTCCAACCCCAAATCTGAATCCAAGTATGAGGGCAGACTTTAAAAGTTCAAGGTACCTAACTTATTTGGCAGGTATAATTTAGTACATTTAGTTAAAAACTGAACAGAATATAAGAAAACTGAACAAATTCTAAAAATATTTGCCACAAGAAGGAATCCAAATAGGTGGCAATGGGGGGGTGGGGAGCTTAAAAGAACCTGTGCTTCGTATAAATTGGATGAGTATTAGCAACGCCCCCTCCCCCATCTTAATCTAATTCCTAGAGGAGTAGGCTTTTTGAGGGTAACATATCAACGTAACACATTAAATTTCCATAAACAAGTCTCTCTATGTGAAAATTCACTGCAGATCATGTATTCATGTGAGAGTAGAGGGAAACAGGAGGCAAAGGGAGGTAAAAAAGGACAATCATCAAGAGTGTGCAATTTTTACTTTAATATGAACCAAGGCATTTTGCCTTTTCCAGCAGATTTGAGCCAAAGCAGCAAACATGGATGGAAATACAATTGTTATCATGACTTCGATTCCTGTCCTTTATTATTTCATCCTACAGAATCTTCCCACAATGGCCCCACACCATATGAACCTGTTTTTTAAAAAGTCATGTGAAATGGACAGTGGCTGGCTTCCTTTAAAAAGCAATGTTACTGAAAATTATCATCTCTCATTTTGTAAGACTTTTTTGGGAGGTAGTAGACTGGGCTCTGAAACTCTAGATTTGTTTATAAGAAATGTCAGTTAAATTTAAATGTCTTGTCTCTCCCAAAGGCCCTAAAAGACAGAATTAGAGTGACAGACATCCCAGTTAAATATAAAACCAATGAATGGAGAAAAGCATTAACAAAAATTCAGCTCTCCAGATTCCCAATTTGTCCCATCACACCAAGATGATATGATAGTACAGGCCCAGTGTACTCCCATGAAAGGTTGTTCTAACAATTGATATTCTTTTAGTTAACATCAAAATCAAAGTCAGCATTGCCGTTTCCCAAGTTACACTGCTTTTATACTCAGTGATGAAAGTCAAGTTTAATAATTTCTGAGGGCCTTCTGGCCAAATTTTCAAGGTTTCCAAATTAAAAGACATAATCAAAGGCAATGTAAACTGTACTATTCACATTATAATCTTGCCAGGTCACCCTGGACTAAAACATTTTCTTGTTCAATCTAGGTTCTTTTCTATTTTATCCTAGCCCTTTAAGCTCCTAGGAATTTTAGATGTTGAAAACATTCCCTGTGCACGGGATTCGATATTATATGGTTCATTGGGATCTGTTGTGGCTGGACTTGGACATTTTTTGTTAACTAGTGAGTATATTTATTTCTCTGTATAAAAACATTTCTTTGAGCAGTTTTTCAAGATGGATTAACTATAGTCTATAAGGCATGCATGATGATTATATTCTAGTAGTGATGCTTATTTTTGACAGGTAGAATTAGAAGATCATGTGATGTTGGAGTGGGAGGATTTATCCTGGTGACTTTAGGATGCTGGTATGTTTCCTAAGTATTCCTGAAATTCCATGATTTTAATAGGTTACCTAAAATTCAAATGCACATTCAGAGAAATAGCGAGGATTCTGGAAGTCATTAAAGACTATTTTTAAGGGAAATCTGCCTTACAAAACAATACTGCTTTTGCCTTTGCAAAAAAGCAATCTGTTAACTATCATCGTTTGTTGAATGCCTGAACAAATTTAATAAGGCCTCAACTATTCCCAGTGGTTTCTTCATGAGTATGTGTACAACTAGTATTCTGACTCCTAACTACCCAAAAACACTCCAAATTAGACTATTTGTAATTTTGTCTTTGGTAGTCACCTGTAAGCATTTTGAAATTGTGTTATATATAGTTAAATTCCTACAGAGATTTATCTTTTCTTACAAGGTTTCCCTGTAGGTATAATCATGCAAAGCAAAGAATCCAGGAAAGAATTGCCAGAGAAGGAATTAAAAACCAGATTTTATATGAAAGCACCCACCTTGATCCTCAAAGAAAACAAATCAGCAGCAGCAGCAGCAACTGAGCAACTCTGAGCGTAAAAATTCAAAACATCTCCCTCAAGTCAGTGTGAGCATTGGGACCAGCCACGTATTATGTACAATAAAACTCAAATTATGTGTAAATTGCAGTCTTTTTCTTTACTTGCATGAAAACTTCCAATATAATCTGGCCCTTACCTACTGCCAACATGGTATTCCTAGGTCATGTGTTTTATATAGTAGGTGTAGTGGGTATATCACCTCTAAAACAGAATTTATTGGCAGTGTGTAAGTAACAAATTTAATGACACTAAGTAATAGAATCTTGGATTATAGACTTGCCTAAAAAAACAAAACTCCCGATCTTCTCAACTGCTCATCACAATGCATACAGGGCTTTCACTTCTAAGTGAAATTTTTTAATTAGCACATGTTATATATGAAAATATTTCAGTTTAAAAAGCTGGTGTAGTGGAAAAAGAATAGCAGAATCATACATTTAGACAATCCGGTTAAAATCAGTGACCATTAAAAATCTACCCCCCAATATTTACTTATCCAGGAGAAAACTCCCTTTCTTATGGAATGAAGCTATTTCTGGTGTCAACATTACTTGTTAAGATGGATACAGTACATCTGTAGTCATAGCTATTCAGAAGACTTAAGCAGAAAAAACAAGCCCAGGAATTTAAGACCAGCCTGCTCAACATGGCAAGACCCTGTCTGAGGAAAAATACCTATTTAAATAAACAGCTTGACAGTTTCTTTAAATACTAAAGAAACGTGAGGGTGGTTTGGAGGGGGAGACACCAGTGAACTCAGATGTCTTTAAAGTATTAGTTATCTTGTTCTACTTCTTTTTCAAAGGAAAGGTGTGATTACTTTAGTTCTGTTCAGAAAGATCTCCCTCCCCACCTTGTGGCTATCAAGGTTACAGTACTTAGGGTGCAGAGGCTGTGTGATGTCAAACACATTCTGAGGAGGACCTGGATAATTAATAAAGGAAAGTTCCTGGAAAGGAGCTTGTAAAATCTGACCACTTCAATGCCTTTCTGATCTACCTCCATAAATCTGGCACAAACGAACATTCTACATTATTTGAACTGGCCATGACCAAATTGTTAAAAATTCAGTGATGAGTTCCCCATGTTTTAAGATGAGCACTAATCAGTAACCTGATATTTAACAAACTGGGTGGGCAGCTATTTATGCTCACAGCTTCAGTTTACTAACATAAATAACCTGTATAATTGGGCAGCTGGATTAAGTCAAGTCCTAGTTCTATCATACTTCAATTACATCTTACCCTGAAAGAGAAACCTCTCGATTGGTAAAATTTCCAATGACTTCACCATTAAATAAGGTCAGTTCATTTTCACAGCAGAATGCCTGCACAAACTGGAGACCTGGATTAAAAACAAAGTTATAATAAAATATTTAATTTAGTTGAATTACTTTTAAAATGCCATTACATACATTTACATGATCATTTTTCTTCTTGAACTACTGAAATGTTACAAAATGGTCCTGACACTCCTACTTCAGTCAATAATCTTCAAATCCTAACTGAAGTTTTGCCAAATCTGTCACACTGACCATTACAAATTAATCCATGTCTCTAATCAGAAATTTTTCACTTTCAATGCCTTTCTGATCTACTTTTTTTTTTTCATTTGCTTACACCATCTGGGAATCATAGTCACTTTTTCCTTTAGCTTTTCACATATTTTGTGCTTTAATTCTTGGAGTAGGCACTTTCATTGGGTCACTGGTATGTGCTACAGTGTTTCCTATTACATTCCTAAAGTACATGGCACAAAAAAGTAAATGAACTAAGTGTTCACCAACAGGTAGGATTCAAGACTTATACCCAATCCATACTTTCACATACTGCAAATTTTATTAAACTCAAAACCACCTACCTTCCACGCCCATTTGGGAGCTTCCAGCGCACCTCCATTGCTCCGTAATTCCAAAATTTCACACTAGGTGATATAGCAGTGGGTACCAGCTAAATAGCTGATTAAAATAGAATTACAGTTATTAGTTTTGAAAATTTTTCATGGCTTATCTATTATACTTGCTTTGACACTTTCTAAGATATGATTTATGTGTTTCCCCCCTTCCCTCACCCCTCCTTTTGGCTGGACTGCTTGCTTTTCCATCTCAGTAAAAGGACCTCAGGGCTTTTAAATTAATTTTAAGTTTTTCTCTGAACTTGTGATTTATGCTGAGTTCGGCAACAAGAAATCTTGACTACTCTAGAACCATTATTGTATTTGCAAGCATCTCTTTAGTCTACGTACCTCTAACTCCATCGCTGGTTTCCCTTTGCTTCGATTACATAATGCGAGGAGGTCTATATAATAAATTCAGGATTCCTGTTTATGCACTTTTCAGCAAAGAGCTAGGGATCAAACAGGGTTTGAATCCTTCTATTCCCAGATAAAAATCTGTGATGGGGTAAACTCACCCCTTTAAGTCATGTTAAAATATACACTATTCTTTGGGTAAAGCAGACCTTAATGAGGAAAGTAGAAAAATTAAAAACAATTGCTACAATTCTGTTTTATAATGGTCCTCTAGAATGAAATAACTTTTGGAAGCAACTTAAAAATTAGTCCAGTAATTAGCAGTTCAATGTGTCAATATATCCACTACCACCCAAATACTGGTATTTTTTACACAGCTTATTATGTACATTAAGTTCCATTTTTTAAATGCTTTAAAACTTTTTCTTAGTAAGGGAAAGCTGCTGGAACAAGAAAAATTACATTATGAGGACATTTTTTCAGAATTCCATTTTGAAGCTTATAATGTGAGCACTACAACGTGTTTCAAATATTTTTGAGTGCTTTTCAACCATTGCATTCACTTTATTCTTCTATTTTTCTAGAATAAGGATGACACTGAGTAGTCGTATCTCAAGATTATCAGATTATATTAATAGACAAAAGATTTCTTTTGTTCACTTTAAGTGTAGGTCAACCTAAAAAGTGGCATCTCTTCCACCATGTTTTTAGAAATTCTAATAAACCCGCTATCATATGGCACCCCCTTAGGGGATCTCAAAGTCATCATTTTCTGCATATACTGATTTCTTAAAGGATGAATTTCCATAGTAATGTTTCTTGCACTATACCATGAAGTCATGTGAAATAAAACGTGCCTTACCACATAAATTCAAAGCTCATTTTTGAAAAAAGTTTATTTTTTTATATAGTTTTGTTTTTCCTCATGTAAACAAACGGTCATGAAACCTTGAGGTGCCTGCTCTTTATAAGCCATTAGGTCAACTTTTTAGAGTAGAGCTGTTTTGCATTGAGCAAATCCTGATAGTGACATTGTTATCAGACCTGTATCCAAGTCCTCTCATTTCACCTAAAGACATTTTTCTGGAGAACATAGTGGAGAAAAATAATTTCCTCTAAGCTTATCAAGACTTTAATTTAAACTTCAGACTTACAACAGTATATTATATGCTCTGGACTGGCATAATGAAAACTCATACCAAGTCTTCCCCATTTCTTCATCTTAAGTTCTAAATTTAGTTTTCTAAGCTGATTTTACATTTTGAAATATGAATTTATATCATTGATTATCCAAACAGGACCTCAAATCTGTTTTCCTAAAACTAGTATATTTGTGTATTTAGTATAAAAAGAACAAAGATTTGGGGAATCTAAGGACAGAAAAATATCCTAAACTTATTTCACATTTGAACTCTGGAAATAAACTGCTGCAAGTAGGGAGACATAAAAAGTTTAACAGAAGGAAAGGACTTGGGTCTTTGCATGTATTCCTGTAAACCTATGCAAGAGGACCATCGACTGCAAAGAGAATACCAAGTATTTCACTTCAGGTATTCAAGGGAGAAACTGGGAAATGTTATATAACCTGTACATCAAGGTTACCAGTTGCTCTTCCCCATCTTTTAGTAAGTTTTATTTTAGGGTGATCCCAGAATCCTAACATAACAACTGTTAAATATACAAGCATCAATTAATTTGGAATACCTATTAGAATCACTGGAACACATTTAGTTGGGCCCTTTTACTCTTCCACACAGCACATTCACATGGACAGACTAAGGAAAAGGAGATGAAATTTAAATCAGCATTTTTTTCTTTATTATACTTTTCCAAAATAAAAAATAAAGTACGTTGGAACCTTTTATTATTGTACTTGTCCATGACTGTCTCTTAACTAGGTACCTTTAGAAACTGCCAAATAATTTCTGATCATTAAGTATTAATTTCGTCTTCTCTGTAGGCTTTAACACTATTTACATCACACTTTTGTATATTCTAGCCCTCTTTGTTGGTGGTGGTTTCATTTAAATTTTTTGGCTAATATCCATTTGTAGCAATGCTTCAAGTGCTTGCCACATACATTTTATTAGGCAAAACTGATTCTGTTTCCCATAGTACAATGAAATGGGACTGAATAGAAAAAAAAAAAACACTACAAAAAAAAAAAAAAAAACCAGTAACTTGGTAGATATCAGATGCTTTCAGCTTTTTAGCCTGCAATCCCTGAGTAACTTTCAGTACTGCATATTATCAAGCAGAACATGCTCATGATTATACCATCACCAAGCATGGTGATTTTAACAGTGCAACCTAGGAACTAAGCCTTTATAAGACATTTTTCCAGAGGCTAGCCTCATCTGTCATTACCTCATCTCTTTCAACTACAGTAAATTTTCTTGTACCCACAGATTAAGATGTTAAGCCAAAACCCCATACCTCAAATGTAGGCTGAATCTTGGCATGAAAAAGAAACCTTAGGTTTATATTCTAAAGGAAATTAGGCTATTATTAAGTTCCTTGCTCTAATAACTAAGTTATGCCAAAAGCTCACCTAACCAAGCAAGGATTACTGATGCCCTAACCTATCACTTATCTTCAGTGCTATTTTATCAACAATGGGAACCCCATAAGATACAAAGGGGTTATGATTGATTCAAGGTTAGCTTTATTAATATAATCCTTTCAATCTCCAACCTATATAGATCTAAATAAATAAGTTCCTAGAGAAACGAGTCAAACTTAAATCACCTATATTTTTAGCCAAGGAGCAAAGATGTGAAAATGTTCTTAATGTTAAGTGCCAAACTACTTCTGTTATTTCCCATGGTCCTG